TTAAAAGATAATATTGATTTATTTTTATTTATATATTATATATAGATCTTCTAGTTAGTTTTAAACCAGGTTCTAGTTAGATTAGTTCAAGCTTTAACTTTATTGGAATACTAAGCATAGCTTTTCTTCTATTTTTTTAAAAAAAACTTATAATATTAACTAATAAAATAGTATGCAGCTATATTTTTACTAATCTAAGTCTATACTTTTCACTCATATAAGCTACTCTAAGTTGAACCAAAAATTTAATTTAGAATAGCTTTTGACTATTAAAATTAAATTATTTATAAAAATTAAACTTTTTTAAAAAACAGATTAGAGTAGACTCTAGAGATAATTTGTGGTCTCAGAGTGTTTCTAATCATTGTACTATAGCTGAACTGTAAGAATAAAAAGGAGAAAAATGTAATGATATTATAGACCTCTTTGATTAAAAGTTATTAGATGTTAGTATTTTTAATACAGTAATTAAAAATTGTATTAAAGAGCTAATATTCAAGAATTTGAATTAAGAGGTGCTTAGTAATAATAATATAGATATTTCTTTAATAATTTTTCAAGATTCTAAAGAATATCTGGTTAATTTATTAAATTTATCTATTTGTATTGATTTTTTAGAAAAATTAAAAATTTTTTTAAATGATTTTGCAAAAAATAATAAGATTCAAAATTCTATAAATTCAGAAAGCGATGCAATAGGTTGAAAAGATTTAATAGAAAGCATTTTAGAAATTTATATCAAAATTGCTAAAGAACATTGAAATAATGAGGTTCAAGAACCTTCTGAAAATCAGACTAGAGTACAACAAAAATTAATTAGAAATGGAAAAGGAAGAATATTTAGAGACATGACATATTCACTTGGTGAACCAACTAGAATAATTATAGATACTATTGAAAAACCAAGTGCAGTTTTAAGAGATGAATTTAGAGAATTATATAAATTAAATCCATTTCGATTAGAAAATTTTAAATATATACAAGGTAAGCTATTATTAATATTAAAATTTAATATCAAAACTAATTAAACTTATCAAATAGGCAATTATCACATAGTTGATAATAATAAATCAACTATTGTAAGAATAGTTTC